CACCGATATTTCTAGTGGGTCTTCAAAAGTGAACGGGTATTCTGCAATCGCTCCTATTTGTTTCATAATCTTTTGTTTGATATATAGTCATTTTCAAATTTGTAGGAATCATGCAACAGTGACATCACTGCTACTAATGATAACGAACCCAGGCCCAGTACGTCAAGAGGGAGCGTTGGACCCCCTGTACGCGGTCGTGGAAAGGCTACTGGGCATATAATATATCTCTATTTTACCTGTAGTGATAGCTAGTTAATATAAGAATAACCTATTTTGTTTTATTTGTGTACAATATTATAAATTCTAGGTATGATGTCAGTAAAAATATAAATTCGTGTAATAATCGAGTTATTACAGGAATTTATACCAGCGGTTTCCGGCATAAAAAAATTGATAACTTATGTAATACTCTTGCTACATATATAATTATGGTATCATTTTGAAGCCAAATGAATTATCTCTTCATTTATATGGACCAAAATACCATTCACTTCTTCTATGCTCCACAAAAGGTCCATAAAACATAAAAAAATGTTTTTGCTTGGGCACGTCCAACGTTTTTAGATACCCGCACCCCCCTGTCAATAAGGGTGGACTCTTTGCGATACCAATATTCAAGAAGTTGATAGCTATAGCTTCAAAATGATATATAATATGTGTATATAGGATCATTGATTGTATCCAAAATATTAAATCAATGCAAATAAGTTGAACATTAAAATATTCATAAAAAACAATTCGGCTCCCTAAGGGTTTTAATTAATTAATGTGTGATATCTTTATAATTTTAACATTACGTAATTATTATGTATTGCTTCCATTTGTAAATATAGATTAATATAGTCTGAACGGCTCCTTGGAAATCAATAACCTAGGCGTGTTGAAGGATAAACGTTGTAAAATAAAATTTTTAATAAATAATAATAATAACATTAATTGGAAAGCTGAATTAGGGAAGATCAACGCTGTTCAATTTGATCGAGTCAGACACTTACTCATGGCGCTTCTTTAAGGGAGCCTCTCGCCGCCACTATATGACTCATTTATTGTCACAAAGCATATAGCTAGGATAAAAGAAATGTTAGAATTAGTATTCCCCACCCACCCTGTCAACATACCCTGTGGGAAAAAAACGCGGAGCACCGGATACAACCCACGATTTGCAATAGAGCGTTGCCTAACACTTTTCATGATTGTGCAGCTAGAAAGAAACCCATGCACGATCATAGACGTATAAAAAGCGCTTATTGTCGCCGCAGCGTCCCAAAGCCCCGTTTTGAAATTTAATTTCTCTGCAAATTTTAACCATCAAACAACAGCAGCTTAGATACTAACGCAAATACTTTTGAAATAAATTTTAATATTGCATAGGATCTTAGATTCGCTTTTATTATTTCCTGGTGTCCTATGAGCCCAGCAGGAACTGCTTACTTTATTATTATAATTTGACGTCACATTTAATGTCACAATTATTATTTAAGCTATATAAACAGCAATCGTTCTGTGCGTCTATTTCTGCCATAAAAATGCATATTCATCTGAGACCGATACTAAACTGTCACTTGATGCAGACAAGAGGTTTTCGTATTAAAAATACATGTATACTCTGCTACGCGCTTTTAAACTTCAACTCACTTAACCAAATTTAGCATTTCCCTCTCATATTTCGCGACGTTTTCAATACCCGTGGTCAGGTCGACTACGTGCAGTCGCAACTATCTTACCAAGTATAATTTCATGCATATACCCTGATTTCTTCTCCCTAAAAAAAGTGTCACTCCCATTAATTAACGAAATCGAGACCAATACAAAAATTTTACGTTCTATTCTTTCTATTGCAATTTTTTAACCTGCAGCGCATTGAGTCTTAATCGTTTTAGGATTCCCTTTGATGTTATTAAGTTCACAACTTCACCTATTTTAAGACATGATCACACAGGAACAGATAAATTCAAAATTAAGCCACTCACAAATCCGTTCGTTTCCATTAATGAAAATACCCTGAAATACTAATGAACATGTGTACTTTAAGATGGTTATGTCAAATAAGCTCTACCATGTCTGCCACATTTCCAAATTCACACCTGAAGTAGGCCGATAGACATGTACAGGAGAATTCAATTTGTATGGCAATAGCATATTTCCTATTGGCTGTATTCAATTTTACATGTTATTTTTGAATTCTACACCATCAAATTGGGTAACTCCCCAATTTTTATGAAAATATAGCAAATAACCAAGGCTTAATTAACAATTTCATGATCCGCTACCCAGGAAATTTTGTTCAAACCACGCCCATTTTTGAGAAAAAAAACAAAACTACAATGTCCGATAACTCGAAGACTATTAAAGACACAAGTCTGAAATTTTGGATTCTTGCATGTCTCATGTTGACAAATATAACCACCAAATTTGAAAGAAATTGGAGAGGCATGGTGTCATTTTCAAAAATTTCTGGATGAATTGACATGGAATTACTCCACAGTCTATCATCCCTGCCAGGTGGGGTGTATTGTGTCTATATTAAACACACCATCCTGGATTAAAACCTACTGTCCATTCATGCCATTATCATATAAACAGGCACATATATACAGGGTAAACTCTAGAAGGGCTTAGCTTGGAAATCCTTCAAGCTCAAGCAAGCAAAAGTTTATACTTTTTTTACCATATTGTGGGAAACACTAACCATTTAGTCGTAATGTGCCCTGATGCATTCAATAGTCGTGTTTACACTACCAGCCTTGGCCTAGCCTTGGCTAGCCTGCATGACAGGCGGTACGTAGGAAATACCGCCTGCCGCAAAACTGGGTGTAAATGAACTACCACCCCTGAAGCATCAACGCTATTTATAGATGCATTAATTAAGTAAATATTCAAAATTAGCCACTCCCAAGCCCCAACTGCCCAACATAAAATAAATTCCTTGATTCTCATCACCGCCCGACTGAATTTTAAAATCCTCGTGAAAACGTTTTATTTTTCGTTATACAATATAAATGTACCGCCCGACAAAATAATTCAAGACAGTTAATTTTTTCATATTTTATATAGAGTTTTTATTGCCATTTTAAACTTCCAATTTGAAACAAACAGAATTTTGAGTGAAATTTCATTGTATTTTAAAGAAACTCAGTCATTCTGTCATTGTTCGTGGAGATACGAACTATTGATATATAAATTATATAAATATAAAATATAAAAAATAAATCTCCCACTGTCTTCGACATTTCAAAGTGTAGACTGTGTCTAGTGATGAGAATCAAGGAATTTATTTTATGTGTTAATATAAACCAAGCCCGTTTAGCCGTTTAGCTGCCTTAAAACGGTGGTTTAATAAGCTCAAAATACAAAGCATGCAAGTCTATACTATAGATTCATCATCAGTCAACAACCAAACTGAAAATATTGAACCTTATAGAACGATAGTTTTTATTTGTTTACAACTATACATATTCAACGGGTATATAAGAGTGTAACTGTTATTTGATAATTACTGCATCAACCGGCCCCTTGTTTATACTTTGGAGGTTCGTATATAATATCTATCAAGTATCTTTGGTTCAGAACATGACTGATAGGCCTACATGGAAATCCCACTGTTCGATTCAGTGAAGAAATATCTCCTAATTTCTATCGATAGTTTTAGTAAAATGTCAACATTATTGCGATTTATGGCCTTTGAAAGTCAAGCGAGATAGTATATTATCAAATTAATACGCATGTAATTGTCTGAACGAAAATATAGCCCATACCTTTCGCCGATCATAACTTCGGCCCCTTCGGACATATCTTCTTTGTTAAATATTCTTGTTCGAATCTCTATCAATAACACTATTTAGAGTGTTATTTTTCAGCTTGTATATTTTAATTTGCTTCTTTTATTATGTTATTCCATTTCTGGTCTGACTTGACGTGAACTAATTTCAAAACGCAGAGTTTCAAAACGTCAAAACATTTGGTTAATGATTAACATTTAACCGAATTTAGCCGTTGATTGACAACTACATAAAATACTAACCAATCCGTTTTTCCCGTTCACCAGCGGACGGGTAATTCAAAAACCCCTAGTTTTGCGGCAGACGGTATTTCCTTTGCTTCCCTAATTTTCGCTGCCCGTAGAAATACCGCCTGCCATGCAGGCTAGGTAAATTGCTATTGGTGGATTTGGCAAAAATACAATACACACGTGACGGTGAAGGACCAGATTTATGAATAAACGTTGTCCAACATAGATAATGAGTTATATGTTATTCTAATGAGTTTCACAGCCATCTTCCCTTCGATTGGCTATGGTCTGAACAATTCTTGATATCAGCATCATCCAATAATTGTTTTAATATACTTATCATATAATCTTGGCTGTGCCAGTGTAGGCAGTGCCAATAAATTAATGAGAAAACTTCTGAGTGATAGGGATGCAACTACCTGGGGCCGGTTGTACGAAGGCCGGGTAGCATTATATATTCACTGGATAGTGATTTTTTCAACCTTTGTAAAAATGCTTGAAAAACTTTGAAACTACGGATATAGACGACACAAGAAGTATAAAAAACATTCAACTTATTAACAATTATTGGATGAGGCTGAGCAGGATATCCAGAATTATTTAGACCGAGGTCAGTGTTATCTGCCGAAGCCGAAGGGTGAGGCAGATAACATTGACCGAGGTCTGAAACTCTGAATAATTCTGGTATCCTGCGCAAGCCGAATTCAATAATTGTTTTATTATTCATTTTGTGGCAGAAAGAAAACAAAACAAGCAACGATTGAAAACAAATAAATATTCATTGAATTGGTTAACTTTTCGTAAATATAAATACAGCATAATTGTTAACAATATTTCAAACACTCAGAGAAAATTTACTGTATTAAATAATTATAGCAAGTTTCGTCTAGCTGAAATAAACATTTTTTCAATTTCCTGCGTTGAAAACGTTGCGAAACGAGCACTAGCCATTGTAAACAATTGAAAAAGCCGCTCAACTAAAAATTTCCCGCCAATTTGTATTATCACATAAAATACCGCTGAAATATCTCGGGCGCCATCCAATAACCTCTGCAGATTACTCGGTTTCCGCTGAAAATAGCGCAGGCACCTACAAATACCCAAAATTATTTGTAGGCTCTTAGCCAATGAAAAACCGAAAACACAGTACAATGAATAATAATAAATAATAAACTTTAATACCAGTTCTACCAATCAACGACAGATTTAACAAAACTTGAAAAAATCACTATCCGGTGGATAGCGCTATCCGGCCTTCGAACAACCGGTTCCTGAATAATAAAAGGAGAACTTCGACGTTTCGAGCGAAGGCACTTCGTCGGCAAGATACCTCTAGCTACTAACTTTGCAACAAGCCTGAAAATAAATTTCCAACGGTGCCTGACAAAGTGTCAGGTATCAACTGATTGGTGCCTGACACTGGACATTTTGTGCCTGACAAAAATATTACTGCAACAGAGCAACTATAGTTTTTAGTGGTCCTTGAAATAAAAGAAGCCAATGAAAAGCTTAGTCACAACAATTTTAAAGCCACTACAGCTAGTCAATTATATCATACGGAATATAAAACGGAACATAAATTTCACAGCATTTCACAGGCATATTGTCTTAATATTCATACGCGATGAAATTTGAATTCACATAATTTTTAAATGTGGAATGCGAATATTTAGAAATATATAATGAATTTTTTAATAGTGCCAGTTTCACCAATAGTATATTAATGTGCATGCTGCCAGACAAACTGTCCGGCAAGGAAACAGTTGTGCCGGACAATTACCTTTTCGTACCGGACAATGTCCGTGACCGGCCGCTTATTTTCAGGCTTGCTTTGCAACGAAGGGCCTTCGCTCGAAACATCGAAGTTCTCCTTGTATTTTTCAGGTAGTGGCATATTTACCATGTTCCCCATATTATGGCTGCTTATAAGAACAAACTACACAGGCTTGAATCAGTGAACGCTTGGCGTTTTATTAATTACAAATTTACAGTTGTGCATGACCTATACTCTATAGAAATCGCGCCTCCAGTTCGATTCTTTGAAATAAATAAAATTTAAATATTTTGCATTTTTTTTCACGCGATGCTCTGTGACCCGAAGCGTTGAACGTTTTGTGCGTCTCTGTATATATGTATAAATTTACAAGTGAAGAGTGTCACTTTGAATGTTTGTGTGATAATTGAAAATTTATCGCCCACCACCGTACCTAGAAAAAAAACAAGAGGAAATTAATACATTGTAAATCCTCTACACGAGTAAAAATCTCACAGCTTGTCAACAAGATGTGTTCGCACTGCTTGTTCCCAGTTTTTGACAAGTCTGGAACAAGCTGTTATCATCTTATAACAAGGCTGATGTCGTGAGGCCAACAGACTCGCAACAAGTTTTCCAACAAGTCCGATATCGCCTGCACGTAACAAGTTGTTACAACATGTACACAATATGTACTGCATGTAGACTTACTTTAGGCTCCAGTCCGTTCTGCCGTGCATAGCTCCTCCAACTTTCCCAGGTTTAGAAGCACCGGGGGGCTGGTACACCGGACCACTGGGTTGACGAGATAACGAAGGCTTCCAGTAACCACCAACACCTGCAGATAGACATAAATATAATCGTATTCCATTTCTCATACTTGGCAGCATTTATAGACAAAGTTCAATAATTCCGAACACTTGATCTGATACTACAGTATGTTAGACTAACAGCTTCGGTGGCGCAGTCGTCAGCGGAGCAGGCGCCTTTCACCTCTGAGACCGTGGGTTCGATTCTCGCCACGAACTCATGTGAAAAGAGTCTGTCAGTGCTCTGCCGAAAGTCGTGGGTTTTCACCGGGCGCTCCGGTTTCCTCCCACAGGGAAAGTTGACAGGGTGGGGTTAGGATAAACATAGTTACGAAAGTAATATCACAATTGTAATACAAGTAAGCGTAATCTGGATGTAATCGGTCACTGAAAAGCCCAGTCTCATTTGCCAGACTGAGGTAGCTTTTGTATGTTGGGTGCTGAATTGCCCAAATTTCATGCTGGTAGTTCTTGGTTCTTTTATGCGGGTTTTTACTGTATTCTTGTTGTTTTTTTCTAGTAAAATGTTTATCTGGGTAGCTTCCAAAAATCAAGCTCTGGTACAAATCATCATCAACCTACCAACAGAATTTCCAGACGTCCCACCAAGAGCATAGCCACCGCCAAGTCTCGACTGTGTGTGACCGTTATGAAACGATGGAAGGTAGGATGCATTTAAACCCATGCCCACTGAAGATTTCTTATTTACTGGCATCCTGTTAGCTGCTGCGGCAGGACTTTGCCCGGGAAAATATCGCGCCTGTTTCATGTAGTGTTCTTTAGCGCTCGGTGGATTCCTGCGGTTTGAGTCGTTGTCTTTGCTACCAAAATTGCTGGAAGGGAAAATAGAAAAAATATATATATACTGGATAGCTCTATCAGTTCTAGACCGTCCTTCCGAGAGGTCCAGTAACGGTTATCCATAATTGGTTCAGTGTGACTACAGGAAGAAACGTAAATTAACTAACTTTATTTAGACTGGATAGTTCTATCAGTTATATACTGTTTTCCCTAGCGATAAGCAACCAATTAAGGCCAGAAACCGTCCTATCAATAATTTCCAAAGGCGTGCAAACCAGAAAAAGCAAAATGGTATACGTTGCTAAAAGAAAATATTTTTAAACCTTACCTTTCGTAAGTATCTCGTGTCTCACGCCGTTTCGCTGGTGGTAGCTAAATAAAATCAAAACGAAAGGAATTAACGAACTGTTCAAAAAACTTAACAAACTGGATAGCCTATGTGGCAACCAAAGAAACACACACACACAAATCCAGGTGAAAGCAAAATCTATTTCCTACCTTGGATGTAGCTTTATTATGACCTGACTTCTCAATTTCGTCCATTAAATTTTCAAGATCATCGTCATGGCTCGACCTCTTTGCCGGTCCTTGCCATTTCCGTCTTTCACTTCCGAACACGCTTGTATTTTTCATTTCTTTACTTCCTGCGATATTTGGATGGTGATTCTCTTTTGCAAAATGTCTACTAGAATGTTCTGGGACATGGTTCTCTTTCGCAAAGTGTCTATTCGACTTCTCGGGAACATTGTCTAAGTATGGAAGTTTGGTCCCCTTAGATCCATTCTTTCCCGTCTCTCCGTCGTCCGCTAACCCGCCAATTCGTTTTGAGTTGCGATGAGATTTATTCAAATTTGTACTCCCATACTCTAACAGGCTATCGGACTCAACGTTTTTCACCGGGTTTCCCCGAGTATTGTTCCGATCTGTGGCCGAGGACCTCTTCTCAAGTCCTTTTATACCACCGGACTTCTTACTAGCCCCGTAGGATTGCTGTAAATCATCTTTCAAATTATCAATGTCAAAATCATCAAAAATAGCGCTTGCTTTTTTCTTGAGTGGGTTCGGCGGTTTAACCGGCTTACCTGAATCGCTGACCCGCCGTATTGACCCATTGTTCATCGATTGTTGTAAGCTCCGATCTTCTTTAGGGTCTGCATCAAAGTCGTAATCGTCAAAAAAGCCGCTTGCCTTTTTTTTCGTGAGGGGTTTCACAGGTTTCCCAGATTCGCTAATGCGTCTGATATCGTCCGTTTTCTTCGCCGACCCACGTTGGGCGTTCACTTTGTTTTGGGGTAGGTCGACACCGACCATAAAGAAAGGATACCGCAAGCTTTGCGCGGCGTTTGGTCGTTTTTGTGGGTTCCATAGTAACATGTCTTTGACGAGTTGTATGCCTTCCGTGCTGGCGTTTGGAATGATCTGACGTAACGGTGTGCTTACCTGAAAGGGAATTAAACAGTTTAAAGCATGATACAAATGTTTCTCTGTTTGCCCACGCTTGATGTCTGTTCATATGAGTCCAGCTGACCGGAAAACTACCTGAGTGGGATCCGCGTACATTTTGTTAACGCATATAACATTCAGTTTGTGTTCATATGAGAAACGAACCAGCCGAGCTAAGTGAGATCTAAGAATCTCAGTCAAGTCGGATATAAGATTTTTCATATGAAGGTTTTATCCCTCCTGGCCAGGATGGACATTTTTTTGCCAATTTTGACCTATAATATAGTATTGAACGGCACAGTTGGAGAATACGAACAAAAGTTAATAGACAGACCCTGTTAACGTCGTAATACAAAGTGCAGTTGTTTAATTACAACAAAAAATCTTTTCAAGATGCCATGTTTACATAATGTCGTCTCATCGAGGTAGGATATTAGGTGGCACAAAAACATTCATATGAACACAGAAATAATTAATCTCACTCAGGTGAGCATCCCGGCAAACCAGACTCGTATATGAGCAGATCCATCGAAACATTGATGAGCAGATTCTTCGATGAGATGAGATTGATCTTTCGATGCTCGATGAATGAGATGAGATTGATGAGATAAAACAGGGTGAGCAGATCCTTCGAAACATTGTTGAAAAAAACATATATGCATGCTTGTTAGGAAGTAGGCCTGCTCAGGAAGCAAAAATGTTTCCAGACATATGATAAAGATCCGCGGTTTCCTAAAGAACAAAATAATTATATATAACCTAGTAAACCTACCATTGTTGGAAACTTGAAATTCATCGCAGAAGCAAGTTTATATCCTTCTGCCCAATCATCCTAAACAAAAATAGTCACGAATGAAGCTATCTGGACTCTATGTAAGACAGTACACCTTACTTTCGAAAATGAGTCGCAAATCCCCTTTGCCTGCCCTGCCTAGTGGTCAGGTAAGGGCAACCCCTTAGTCCGTCCGGAGTAACAGAATTAATAAGTTAAGGGTAAAAGTAGGGGGGGGGGGGGACATGTTAGCCATCCTTTCTGGCAGTCGAAAGCTGAATAGCGAACGCCGCAGCTCAAATGCGATTGAGTCAAAGGCTTACTAAGGCGCCTCTGGCAAACACCATATGACCATGTCTGATCACGGAGCACAGCTAACGTGGAAGGGTTAATTTTCGGTGAAGAAAACTAGTGGACCCAGACTAGTCCCTGTCGATCTGAAGCTAACATATGAACATGTGGAACCTAAGTGTGACGTCACCGCTCAATGTGACAGGTGGCTCAGGAACATATTGAATAGCGAAGAAAGTACCTGGGACTAGACAGTAGAAGACCCCAAGAAAAACCTCGCAGCACAGGAGAGAATTTTCGAGTATATCAAGTCAGACAGGATAGTAGCAGGCTTAACACAGCGCCAAGGGGTAGCGCGCCAACCGCATCTTTCCACATTACCTTTGCTGGTGTTCCAAGCACAGAACATATTTTATAGATTTCATCAATTTCGCTGTTGCCAGGAAAGAGAGGTCGTAAGGTGTAGATTTCCGCCATGATACAACCGCATGCCCACATGTCAATAGGAGAACTGTAGTTGGTCGATCTTAGCAAGACTTCGGGTGCTCGGTACCTAAAACAAATATATGATCATAAAATATTACTGGCTGGTAATATGTGTTGACACACTTGGAAAAAGTGTTTAGGTAATATTCCTCGGATCCTGAATTTGCCTTTTTCAAATGTTCCTCAACAGTGCGTAAAAACAATGGAAAATTTGACCGTATGCATCACGGCATTTTGTATGCGACAAGAAAGGTATACTTGACTGTACTCGTGTTGCTTGCATGTCTCAAATGACAGCCAAAGAAGTATGATATAATGATTCCTTAAGACTCTCTCATAACGTATTTGTGAAAAATTGAAACTGTTCCTTAGCTTAGTCTCTTACTGGAGTTATATCTTAAGCCTGGTTTCCATATGGTCGTAATGGTCGTAAAAATAGAGTCACAATCTTTCTCAACGGCCAGTTTATAATAGTTTATACCTGCAAACCACATGTAAATCATAAGTATTCTCTAGTTATAATCATTCCGCGTATTTTCGTTACGATAAACTTAAATTTACCATCTTGTTGAGACATAATCCGTGAATGGTGGTCTTGATCGAATCTCTCTTGCCAAACCAAAATCTGCAATTTTCACTTGCTCTGGACCACTGCATAACAAGTTCTCGGGCTTGATATCTCGGTGAAAATACCCTGAAAAAATATGGTCCACTGGTCATCAAGATTTGTTCACATTGACTGTGGAATGTGGATGGCATTTTCGAAATATGCTTTAGAAACATGTTTTACAATTTCAATTTTCATCTCACACTGGCTTGTACCCGGTATGATGTAAAGTAGATCTTGAAACTTAGCCTTAGGCATTGAAAATTTTTGAAAATCTTGTTTGTCGTACACGCATGCAAGTAAACTCTTCCGAAGAACCTTATCAAGGAAAATTTGCTCTTTACTTGCGACTTTCCCAGTTCGCAACTGGAGTATTAATTTTAGCAGTGACGGACACTTTGCAAATATCCTGTCAGGGTTTCACAGTTGTAAAAACAATGTTAAAGCTCGCGTATACACGCTATCATACACAATCACAATGTTTTGAGGATATATCCTGGGAAGGGGCAAGTTACAGCATGAGACTTTATTAGTTTTACTAACCATGTTTATGCATGAATGTGATTCCTTGTAAAATCTGGTACATTATATTTCTTACAGTTTGTTCAGGCAAGTAGCGATCCCTTGGAAAAGAAACATACACAAAGTTATGCAAGGTAAGCCTAAAAGTCACATTCGCCTTTAGAATTTGCTTCATTGAATCTATACACGGATTCGTCAATTCGCTTATCTGGGCGGGACTACTTCGGCTGTAAGCTGTGAAAAACGCGCACTTTTAAATGACGGGTGAAAACACGTCGGAAATCAGGTCAGCACTTGTTCGATCCATCTACCAAATTGACCTGATGTCATTTTCGAAAGATGGAAAAGGTGTTGAATGGCCATGTAACTAACCCAAACTCTACCCCTACTCTAACCCCTCACCGCAACCCTAACTCTAACCCTAACCAAATTAATTTTAAAAATCCAAAAAGAAACAACTTTAGAAATTGATCAAAGACGTAATGTCAGTTTGGTAGATGGAAACAAGCGAAAACCCGGAAATTACGACCGTGAAGGAGCTTGTATATTTGATACAAAATCCTGGTAATTTGCATATCGAACTTTCAGTCCATTTTTCTAACCCAACATTCATGTCTTTAAATTAATATTATTGCAAAAGCCAAATCACAAAGCGATAAACGACAATTGTGTCCGTGAATAATGTGATGTACAACCGCTGGTTTCGGCTCGTGTTTATATAATACAACAACATGCAAGCCATGTTGTGTATATTAGACTAAGTATAATTACTTAAAAGTTAACAAAATACTATTTCCATACCTATTTTTGATCATCTGGTATAGATTCTCTCTCATGTATTCGAACACAAAATAAAGTTGATCATTTTCTCGGATTACTTCTTTGAGTTTGACCACATTTGCATGATTTAGTTTTCGTAAAGACTGCAAAAGAGTAGAAATTCCTATAGTATTCAGCAGTTATTCGACTCATCTTGACAGCATGTGTTACTATTTCTACATGAGCTCTGAGGAGAACAAGCAATCAAATAATTTAATATGATTTCATATTTAGAAATCCTAAAAGACCATAACAAATATTTCGAATAAAAATTGCTATGATGATCTTACCTTCACTTCTCGTAAGTTGACGCACTCGTCCCAAGAATAGTATTTTCTTTTCATTCTGAAGATATAAGGACAAATGTTATCACATTTTGTTGGGTCATTCTATGCGCACCCTATGTTAATGAGTTAACCAGAATAGCCTGCTAATGTCTCTTGTTAAAACATCAATCATGAATGCGCTTTATACTTTATTATTCTACTTTAACACCGAGCAAGTTTACTTGTTAAGAGGAACTTCTTCGGTATTAGCAAACTATATCTGCATGTAGAGGTGTCTTATTATTAACCAAATAAGGGGCAATGCCTGCCCTACATTATTACTCTGTCTCTAACGCGACTCTATTTACGAATATCAGTGAATATTAGGTAATTTTGATGCGACTGGTTTACACCGAAATCGAGAAATGTATATACGCGATTTATGTTATTATAAATCTGGTCAAGCATATACGTTCATTATAAATATTGAATGTGGTTGATCATGCGCACTTTATCATTTAACGTCCCACAAGTGAAACAGCAAATATTTTTATACAAATTTCAGACCGCAATTTTGGATAATTTGTGAGACCAGTAAAGAGGTTGATGAACCTCAGGCATAGCCCACGCGTCACAGACTCTAGACTACGGTACGGCTAAGATGTGCCTAAAGAGCATTGCCTCGTTTCCGCCTAAAGACATATATCGCGTTATCTAGTCGAGAATGAGACGAGGGGCTTGAAATTCTATTGGCGGGAAAGCGGCCCTCTTTTGGCAACTACAAAGTACACACAGAATTGGGAAAATATAAAGTTTCCCCGTTGAAAAGAGAAGCTAATCTTCTTCTCAATTAGATATACTGTATAACGGATACGTCGGTAAAACCCTGCTCAAATGAGCTACAGGGAGAGACTTAATAATTAATGAGAGTAGGCAAACCATAGTTTGTTAATATAACTTTTAAGAACACCGCTACACCGCCCAACTCGATTAGCAAACGAATTTATATACCTTGTTTTCTTTATTTAAAAATTGGCAACGTTAAAAATGTATTAGTTCACCTAATTGTTTTGCATAAGAAATGAAAGTTGTATAGGCTTAATATTGTAGATATTGAACCGTAGCAAAAAATTGTTTTTAATGAAAGAAAATTGTTTATTATTCCACATTGTCATTGACTGCGGTTTGTTTCAAGTTGTCGTCCAGATGTTGGTCATGAGCTCGTTTTAACTGCAAGGGGCCTATTACCTACACTAATAGAGCGATAGTTTTGCTAGATAAATGTTCAAACGCATTAAAATTCGGACATGGAACTTTTCCGCTTGCAAAATACCGCTAATTGAAAAGAAATATATCGGGATAAATTATGCATTATACGGCCTATTACGCTACTAATGAGGGCTTGGCTCGAAAAGTCGAAGTTCTTTTCATAATTTTATATTTTTCATGCATCGCATAATTCATAAAAAAGTTCACAGGTTGATAAATTATGCATTGCCACATGAAATGAAATAAACTACACCGGCAGTATAAATTATAATTGAGTCCTTGAATTAACAAAATATTTTTGAGGTTACTATAGTTATTTAAACAATTATAAAAACACGACTGTTTGTGACTACTTTTTAGATAACATCGCTCCGTGTCAGAAATTGAATCGCACATTGCAATGCCGTCAATGCAGACGTTCAAACTTGACATTTCCAAAAATCGGGAGGTCTGGTAAAGGAAACGAAACGAAACTTTGTCGTACAAAACACCCCTCTTGGCGAAATACCGCTTTTTTGTCGATCCGACAACCGTTTTTACCGTACGCGAACTGACTATACCGTTTTTTATGTCGAACCGTTTTTCATATATACCGGTTTTTGTCGAACTTTTGCGCGATTTTCAATTTCTGGATATTAGTTTGCGTATTTGCGTGTCACTATAGACTATATTATTTCTATTTAACTATAAAATATTAAATATTTTTAAATTAAAACGGCTTTTACAAGGATTCTTTTAGAAAGTAACATTTTTTCTTTTCATTCGTAAAATCGGGAGGTTTAAATATAAATCGGGAGATTTGCCAAGAAATCGGGAGCCTCCCGATCAAATCGGGAGGGTTGGAACCTTTGCCAATGGCAATGCCGAATGGGCACTGTAATAGCCACGATTAGGTTTATTTGTAGAACAAAAACAAAATTTGCTCAAAGGGACTTGAAAACAGTCTTGACTTATAGTTCAGAAACGACATTGAGAGTACTGCTTGTGAGACTGAATTTGTTTAATTTAACTGAGAATGCGCAGTCTATCTGGATTGCTCCCACATTCACAATGGAAAGATGTTAGAAATAAATAGGTAGCAACAATATTAAATAAGTCATTTTTCAAATGCTCGACTAGTCAACTTCGACTCCCAAAGGTCCGAGTGTGTTCTGGGAAGGCAGGCAGCCGCGGGCGAGTGAACTGAGTACTTCTCAAACACTGTAATTTACAGTTTCTAAGTACTAGACACTAGTACTTTGAAGTTATGTAAATTCAAATTTGGGAAAATTTGCGAGGGGTCTTCCTCTAGTTTCAAAACACTAATAAATTACTGATTTCTTAATTTGTTTTTGGTTCATGAATTCGAGTATGAATTGTTATTGAGAAACCAATTTTCTTGGCTGCTATGACTGTCCTATAATTTGGACAGGATAGAGTAGGGGGAATCCACCATTAAACTGCGATGTGCTGTATTAGTAAATTTACTCCATCTCACTGTCTGTCAAGTGTCTGTCAAGGTGTTGCCCATCTTGTCTAATGGCAGAAGATTTTACTTTTTAAAAAAACAAGTAATCAGACATTAAGATTTCGGTGTCCATTGCCATTAATGCTGACTTATTGCAGAAGGTGTCCACTTTTGTAGGGGTGTACAATGTCTACACAACCAAACTTGGGTCTTTTAATATTGCAAGTTTCTGCCAGCAGGAATCTGCCACAAAAGACCTGCATAGCTGCTGAGCATTTTCTTGTCAAATTGAAAATTAATTTGTAGTTAATTATGTGTTAATTAGCCAACTACAAGTTGTATATTGGTGATGGTATATTGCTCTTGTAAAAATATGGACACACTGTGTACACTCACACGATTGTCTATAAGGTAGAAACCTTCCACTATAAATAATTCTGATTTGCATATGAACTATTTGTTTTAAATTTTGAAAATTCTGTCGAAATGGAAATGACTTTTTGAGCAAAGGCTCTTTGACAGAGCAGCATAAGGAAATTTCTCAGGCTGGCAAGAAATCACCTGTCTACCAAAATAATAACTTTGATTACATGCAAATTAATGCTTAAATTAAAAGAATTTCATAATAATATAGGTGCCCAAGGAAAACAAATTACATTTTCACATCAAAATTTGCTGTGAGGTTCCTCAGTAAGGCACTTCAACAGCATTTTAGGGGTTGCTTCTGATGTGACTCTGAGTGTATTATCTACATCGGGCAGGCTTGAAAAATATGCCTGGCCACGGTGGGAATCGAACCTACGACCTTTGGAATACTAGCTGTGAGTAGCCCAATGCTCTGCCAACTGAGCTACGCGGTCAGGTCATTTCGGAACTGCACTGGTCCAGATTTCCATGGAATCTATCTAGACCAGTGCAGCTCTCCACATATTAAATGAAAAGTATTTTTACTATAAAAATAACTGCAACACAAGATCTTGCTCAGTGGGGCTATCATGCTAAAGGGAACAACCTAGCTTCCATAAAAACAGCCACATGCTAAACTTATCAGTACATTTTAGTCCAAGTCAACTCAACTAAACTGTCGACAAATTAGTAGATTACGGAAGGGGTTAGCTCAGAATTATCCATGATTATTAGACAACTTGAATACAAATAACTATTCTATGCAAACGAGACATTGAATACTCCATGATAGCGGGGCGTAGATCAAAGCGATCATGGAACAAGTCCAAAAAGCAGGATGAAATCTATTTACAAGTTGCTAACTCAGCTTTATCGGTTCTGAACTGTTCTCCTAAGAGTACAGCAAGGGTCCAACTCTTATTGGTCCAGTGTTACTAAAGAAAGGGATTTTTGTACTGAGAGAGCATCAGACAGTTGTTAATGAGCTTCGGATTGATAGGGATACAACTATCTGAAATATACAAGGGGACGTTTCGAACAAACACCCTTTGTCAGGCCCGTCGCTGCTACTAACTTCCTGATGAAGGGCCTTAATTCACTCGAAACATTGAAGTTCTCCTTGTATTTTTCAGGTAGTTGTATCCCTATCAATCTGAAACTGCATTATTGGCAACTACCTACAACTGACACAGGCTGTTCAAGTTGTTAATACTGCTGGGATCGAATCCAAGCTTCTTCACAGACTCGCACACATGAAACACACATTCAAATGACTGACTAACATTGAATAAGTATCCAATGACAGGTCGACTCAGGTGTTAAAGTAGCATAATAAGTTATCTATTTCTTGTGCCCACTTCTAAACACAAATCTATTACTGACAGTAATTGATAATTATCATACAAAAACCGCTCCTCACCGTTTTATGGCAACATTTTCACCCGTCTCACAGTTTCTTGCCAAAGTTACTGATCCGTACGTGCCGTCGCCAAGATTCTTAATTGTCTGATAACGCTTCATTTCACTTTTCTGGACGAACGAGTAACTTGACAACGTATTATATAAAAGATCAAAATATTGTCAAATTTGATTCCTTTATTCGACTCAAAATCGCTCCACGTTGGAAAGAGTTTGGAACCAAAGGAGAAGGCCAAGGCATTGCTAAAGCAAACGAAGCAAGAAACACTCTAAAATACTTCAAACTTACGACTTTAATGCTAACAAATTATGAATAATATCCTATTTGTCATGGATACGAATTATGGACCCAAATAAAACATCACACAGGAAACTAGAATTGAAAGATCGGGACCCAACAATGCTTTAAAATACAATTTAAACATTCCCCTTACCTGTTGTTAGTTCGATTTTCCCATCAGCTTAACTGTTCAAGCAAAAGCGAACAAAAATTAAGCCTTCCCTAATCTTCCCTTGCTAAACAAATGCAAATGGCGACCCGAACTATTCACCCGCAATTCACTGTTGCCTAGCAACGACGAAAACAAAAGGCTGAAATTGAAACAGCTGCCACATCGTAAATGTTCCAAATATGGGCATGGGGGTGTTATTGCCGTATATCACCCGCAGAGAGACAACGTATACGTAATTCCGATTATACGATTTTAAAAAATTTCATAACAACGTTTGACCGCATACCAGTAAACGCAGCATTTCTATAGGTCAGTGGTTTGAAATTGATCTTTTCGCTATTAAAAAGCGGGCCGAGATTAATTTCCGCTAATGACCTTCAAATGTTGCGCGAGCAACGCATGCAAAGGCACACCTGAACAGCAGCATCCAACTTCCAACTACACACACAAAAGTCTCGCATCTTGTAGCAAGTCTGCCGACAAGTTGTCAACAAGTTGTGTTCGCACTGCTTGTCCCAAGTTGTCAACAAGTTTGGAACAACAAGTCCGATACAGTCATGATATAACAATATTGTTACAACCTTGTGTCATCAACCTTGTAACATTTTTTCCGCAGTCGGGGTTATAGGTTAGGGGCGGGGTTGGGTGGGGATCAGGGATTAGCCTTGATACATTATAAGTCCTATATTATTTAACATATACCTAAACGACATACCATCATTGCTTGATAACAAAGATTCTGACCCACTCACACTCCCAAATGGTACAAAACTGAATTGTCTGTTATATGCCGACGAACTGATAATATTATCTAGATCAAAAATTGGCCTCCAAAGCTGTTTAAACCAGTTAAACAACTGGTGCAATAAGTGGATGATGGAGGTTAATTTAAAGAAAACTAAAGTTATGATTTTCCAGAAACCAATGTCAAAACAACAAACTCCACAATTTCTATTTGCAAACAAAATACTTCAAGTAACACAAGATTACAACTATTTAGGTCTTAAACTTACAACCGCAATGGGAATTTACCATAGCAATGAAACAACTTGCTGATAAAGCAAAACATGCTATGTTCAGCACAAAGAAAAAAGTTGATTTTCACTCACTGAATCCAACTAAAACTAGTAATCAAAATTTTTGACAGTATTATCTCGCCAATACTTCTATATCATTCAGAAGTATGGGGTGCATTCATTAATAGCGACCTTAATAAATGGGATCAAAAAGTTCATTCCAGATTCTGCAAACTATACTTAGGAGTTAATAGAAAAGCAACAAATGTAACGTGTAGAGGTGAATTAGGAAAATTTCCTCTATTAATAACCATACACAAAAGAATAATCAAATACCTTGCACACATTAATACCCTTCCTGACTTCACTATTGTGAAACAAGCATTCCTAATCTCCAAAGAACTTTATGAACTGAATAAACCCAGTTTTTACTCCAATGTCATGAAGATACTTAAATCATACACTAACGTAATGATGAACTAAATGAATTAGAATCTATTACTATTCATCAACAAAGTCAATGTATAAGCAATGCTAAAAATAAATATATGTCACCTTTTGGAAACATAATTAAGTTAGACAATTCCTCCAAACTCTCTTTCTACAAACTCTCTCTCTTTCTCTATCTGAATATAAGTTAGAGGTCTACCTTACAACTATAAGAAACGCATCTCAAAGAAAAGCAGTAACTAAATTGTCATACGGTTACAGATTGAATACGGTCGATATCACAACATCCCCCGTGAACAACGCTTATGTAATCTCTGTGATACAAACGAAATTGAAGATGAATATACTTTGTACTATCTTGTAACTACTACAGAGAAGACAGAAACACCACCAACAATATATTACAAAGACAATGCAACGAAACACTCGACTACCAAAAAAAAGATAACCTCGTGAATATAATAAAATCTAATGATCCGAAAGTACTGAATGTTTTTTCAAAATATATTACAGTTACTTTTGAAAAACGGAATCAGTACTTTGAAGCCAGAAATACAAATAATACCTAAAACAAACTGTATAAAAAAAAAACCAAAAAAATCCTTAACCGATATAGACACTACTAAATTAAAACCCTGAAATAGTAATATATCTTGTAATCTTAAATATTCTCATAGTGATCACCAATATGTAAATAATATAAAGTTAAAAAATATGTTATTAGTTAGTTAGTTATGAACGTTAATAGTTATATTGATGGAACTACAGTACTTTAGTAATATCTTGTAATTATAGATCATGCTAATAAAGTCATTACAATTAAATAGGGGTCACACGAAGTATGGTGTATACCCCCTCACGCGCCCTATTAAGTTTATAATTTTACTGTCTGTAACACCAGACAATTTTACTCTTTCTATTGTCTATTCACTCTATTGCCAGACAATTTTACTCTGCCTAATATGCCAGACAATTTTACTCTGTCTAATGCCAGACAATTTTACTCTGTTTAATGCCAGACAATTTTACTCTGCCTAATGCCAGACAATTTTACTCTGCCTAATGCCAGACAATTTTACTCTGCCTAACATGCCAGACAATTTTACTCTGCCTAACATGCCAGACAATTTTACTCTGCCTAATGCCAGACAATTTTACTCTGCCTAATGCCAGACAATTTTACTCTGCCTAACATGTCAGACAATTTTACTCTGCCTATAATGCCAGACAATTTTACTCTCTGCCTAATGCCAGCCAATTTTACTTTGTCTAATGCCAGACAATTTTACTCTCTGCCTAATGGCCAGCCAATTTTACTTTGTCTAATGCCAGACCGATTTCTCTGCCCAATGCCAGACAATTTTACTCTGTTTATTGCCAGACAATTTTACTTTCTCTAATGCCAGACAATTTTACTCTGCCTAATGCCAGACAATTTTACTCTGTCTAATGCCAGACAATTTTACTCTGTCTAATGCCAGACAATTTTACTCTGCCTAATATGCCAGACAATTTAATTTACTCTGTCTAATTGTCTAATGCCAAACACAACTTCGTACCCAGGGCCTTTGCTCGGTTCAGAGGCTCTGATTCCGATACCAGAATGTACCAGAACCTCTGAACCGCGCAGAGGCCCTGGATACGAGGTTGCGCCAGACAATTTTACTCTGTCTGATGCCAGACACTTTTACTCTGTCTGATGCCAGGCAATTTTACTCTGTCTAATGCCAGGCAATTTTACTTTGTCTAATGCCAGGCAATTTTACTTTGTCTAATGGCAGACAATTTTACTCTGCTTAATATGCCAGACAATTCTACTTTGCCTAATGCCAGACAATTTTACTCTGCCTAATGTCAGACAATTTTACTCGTCAAGGGAAGAGTGGTGCCACTTACTGGGTTAATCTGAGGTTAAAATTTATATGGGGTATTATTTTAACTGACTCGTGATTCCTCGTAGACGGCCAATCTTAATACACACACCCTGTGATTGAGACGTGGGCTTGAACTGATGTCAGATACACTAAAACAAGGCTCTATAGACTATAACCAAAGTGACGTACTATCCGGAAGGGTGTATTAATGTTTATTTCGAAGCAATATCACTCTATATATCACTCTATTGCCAGACAATTTTACTCTGCCTAATATGCCAGACAATTTTACTCTGTCTAATGCCAGACAATTTTACTCTGTTTAATGCCAGACAATTTTACTCTGCCTAACATGCCAGACAATTTTACTCTACCTAACATGCCAGACAATTTTACTCTGCCTAATGCCAGACAATTTTACTCTGCCTAATGCCAGACAATTTTACTCTGCCTAATGCGAGACAATTTTACTCTGCCTAACATGTCAGACAATTTTACTCTGCCTATAATGCCAGGCAATTTTACTCTTCCTATAATGCCAGACAATTTTACTGTGCCTATAATGCCAGACAATTTTACTCTCTGCCTAATGCCAGCCAATTTTACTTTGTCTAATGCCAGACAATTTCTCTGCCCAATGCCAGACAATTTTACTCTGTTTATTGCCAGACAATTTTACTTTCTCTAATGCCAGACAATTTTACTCTGCCTAATGCCAGACAATTTTACTCTGCCTAACATGCCAGACAATTTTACTCTACCTAACATGCCAGACAATTTTACTCTGTCTAATGCCAGACAATTTTACTCTGCCTAATGCCAGACAATTTTACTCTGCCTAATGCGAGACAATTTTACTCTGCCTAACATGTCAGACAATTTTACTCTGCCTATAATGCCAGGCAATTTTACTCTTCCTATAATGCCAGACAATTTTACTGTGCCTATAATGCCAGACAATTTTACTCTCTGCCTAATGCCAGCCAATTTTACTTTGTCTAATGCCAGACAATTTCTCTGCCCAATGCCAGACAATTTTACTCTGTTTATTGCCAGACAATTTTACTTTCTCTAATGCCAGACAATGTTACTCTGCCTAATGCCAGACAATTTTACTCTGCCTAATTAATGCCAGACAATTTTACTCTGTCTAATGCCAGACAATTTTACTCTGTCTAATGCCAGACAATTTTACTCTGCCTAATATGCCAGACAATTTAATTTACTCTGTCTAATTGTTTAATGCCAAACACAACTTCGTACCCAGGGCCTTTGCTCGGTTCAGAGGCTCTGATTCCGATACCAGAATGTACCAGAACCTCTGAATCTGGATACGAGGTTGCGCCAGACAATTTTACTTTGTCTAATGCCAGACACTTTTACTCTGTCTGATGCCAGGCAATTTTACTCTGCCTAATGCCAGACAATTTTACTCTGCCTAATGTCAGACAATTTTACTCGTCAAGGGAAGAGTGGTGCCACTTACTGGGTTAATCTGAGGTTAAAATTTATATGGGGTATTATTTTAACTGACTCGTGATTCCTCGTAGACGGCCAATCTTAATACACACACCCTGTGATTGAGACGTGGACTTGAACTGATGTCAGATACACTAAAACAAGGCTCTATAGACTATAACCAAAGTGACGTACTATCCGGAAGGGTGTATTAATGTTTATTTCGAAGCAAATTTGAGGGATGAGGAATTCTAATATAGTGGTTAATATGTAGGAATTTTGTCGCGAGGCGACTATAAAACGACTATAATGTAGTTTGTGAATTAGTCATTTTGATGAAGAAAACACAAAAGAAATCATGAGGGTCACTCATGTTGTAAATGGTACTTAAAGTTAACATCGGCCCATATGGAGTCGGGTTGGTCCAGTTAATCCTTATATTAAATTCGTTGAAATAAAGCTCTTACCACGGCTTTGATAAACATCCAAAACTGACATTTCAAAAGTTGAATATACCTTATGCACAATGACGTCACAAGGCTTGATGCCCGCGAGGAATGCTGGTCTTAGTAGTCACTCGCCCGGGAAAATTTCGATAGTGGCCATTTTGAATTTTTTAATTTTCCCGGGCGATGACTACTAATTAGACCAGCATTCCTCGCGGGCATCAAACCTTGTGACGTCATTATGCATGAGGTTTATTTATAGCTTAGTTTGATGCCAGTAACAGATATGATCAGGAAGAATTGGGAAATCTCGCGTGATACGATTCATCCCGGCTAGCCGGACTCGCACGCCGCACGGCCCGTATGAACACTCCCTTCAACCTTGACCTAAGCGTACAGCTGTCTCAATCAATTATCCAGTGACATTTTGGTCGATCACAATTGCGGCATTATGCATCCGTTACATCTGAGCTTCATCATTCCTTTGTCATAACATCCGCTGTACATATGTCACGCAGGTGATCAGGAAACCAGATGGTTGAACTCGGCCGTGCCGTCGTAGTTAAAAGAATAATGTCTAACGGCTATAGTATCGTCTATCGTCCCCCAGGTATTTTTGACAGCAAGCTTATTATGCCGCAGACTAAGGCCTGTTTCAAACGTCGCGCTTCTCATGTGCCGAACGCATTAAAAACAATAGATAATTAATCAGCTGATTAATGAGTGAAATATTGTTTCTAATGCGTTCGCCGTTCGGCACATGAGAAGCACGACGTTTGAAACACTGGCCTAATAGACCTTTCCCCTTTTGAGTGAAACTTTGATCTAGACAAGTCTGGACAAAGATTTCATCACAGCTTGAAAGAGCATCACAAAATTAGTAATATTCCGAAGTTTCGTTGCGAAATGTTGTAAAATGCGGATAATATATAGCCTTGCGAAGTTTGCCGTTTTTCAGTCATTTTGCATTACAGTCTAACATTTTGCATCAGTTTGATCATCTGATGCAAAATGTTAGATTGTAATGCAAAATGACTGAAAAACGGCAAACTTCGCAAGGCTATATTATCCGCATTTCGTAACGAAATTTCGGAATATTACTAATTTTGTGATGCTCTTGAAGCTGTGATGAAATTGTTGCCCAGGCATATCTAGATCAAAATTTCACTCATAAGGGGAAAGGTCTATTGACAGGCTATCCTAAGACTGAAATATAATTTTATCAGCTCCTCAGTAGAGTTAGTTTATTTTTTCATGCACACGGTGTGTACGACAAATATTGACAATTTGTCCTTATATAATAATTGCCAGTCCTGGTGTACGGCCAAGGAAACGGGACTAGAGTATAGTTTGTACTTAAAAATCGGGCAGATTGCACTTAAAAATTTGGGAATTCCACTTAAAAATCATCTAAATGATTAATTAAAGAAACTTGAGCAGCGCGCAAAAGAAAAAGAAAATTCCCGTAAAGAAGTAGAATTGCAAAATTTGGTTACGAAATGTTGTGATACCGAAAATATAGGCTATAGCCTTGCGAATTTTGTATATTATGTTTGTATTACGTGCGGAAATTGTTACCACTGTTTGAGCCGAAAATGGTAACAATTTCCGCACGTAATACAAACATGAAACATACAAAATTTGCAAACTTTGCAAGGCTATATTTTCCAAGCTTTACAACATTTCGCAACCAAATTTTGCAATAATTCCAGTATGTTCTTTTTAGCTGTGGTGTTTGATTCCCTTCTCAGTCTTTACTTAGATTAAAATGTAGTCTAACATGCCAGTTGTCCATTGATGGGACGAGATTGCGCAAGAAGAACTTTTTCCAGGTCACAAAAAGACGGTACCCCAACAGAGAAGAAACATACTCAACAGGCACTGACAGGAAATGCTGCTGAATTATCGCCTGCAAAGCAGGTTCTTTTACTGTTTTGTGAATGTTGTCTATTTTTTCTCCGTCGCTATCTGACAAAACAATTAATGTCTGTTCCCTCGGGTACTGAATAGTTTGTTTTGCTTAATACCCTGGAATCTCAATGTGGAAACTCTCGGGAAAACAATACTATTGCCATCGGAAGCAGTTAAAAGATATAGATTATTTTCCTTGCATGCTTCTATAGCTGTCAACAATGGCCACGATCTGCTGTCCCGAATATACAATTGAATACAGTAACTGCGAAGTTGAATCGACATCAATTAATGTATTTGCTTCTGTTAGTTTTCCCACTGAAATCAACATGATTGATACCTGATTATTTGAATATTTGCATAATTGGCGTCCTATGAAACAATTAGCGCGCAATTGCGCGCGCGATCAGATATCCTGTCCAGCCCACAGTTAACATTTTTCCGCAAGGAAAGCAAACAAAACAGTACCATTATTAGGTTTCCCTCTTTCGTCAACAAATTATTTCACTAAAACAACACAAGAATACAAGCTGAGTAAATCCTTTAAACAAATGATTAATCATAATACTATAAACAGTCAGCAGTCTTGCATTTTCACCAGATTTTGGTAGTTAAAAGTTTTATAGAATACGTTCTCTGTAATTGTGGAGACTACCTTTATTTGTACAATTGCAAAAAATAAAATAAACTTTATTTATACTGGAGAAGCTTTCATTGGTAGGGATGGAACTACCTGAAAATATATAAGAGAATTTCGATACTGGATAGATTTTATCAGTTTGAAACATTTCGCCCTAGAGGTCCAGTAAAGGTCAACAGGGGGAAATTTAAAACCTAAACTAAACTTAAATATTTATACTGGGCTCTGCTCTAACGGCTAAACTGTTCCTTCTTATAGGCGTCCAGTGAAAGATCGATCATATTTATTGGTCTAAAGTACGGCAAGAAACCTAAACTAAGCTAACCTTATCTGACAATCTAATGACAGTTCATGACACTGAATAACTCTACCACTGCCCTAAACTGTTTTCCCTAACCCTAGGGGTCCAGTACAGAAGAATGTAGATGTCACCAGCAACCGCATCCCCCGCAATGTTTGTGCGCATTTCGCGCGCATAATTATTATCACGTTTTACATTTAGCGCGCAAATCGAAGACAGACATATTTTTGAAAACGCAGGTCTACCCTGCGACATATTGTTTATTGTAACCAATTAACTATCGCGCACAGCTGAAATATATTTGGATGACGCAAACGGTTTCCAGTATGTTTTGCTATCTGGTTCATTTCTCTCGACAATTGGGTAATTGTTTTCTCGACGAAAATGTAAATAAACTTGAGATAAGAAGCGGTTAAGTAAGGACCGACCGACACTTGAAAGCATTTGCGCATTTGATCCAACGAAGTAATTTGTAAGAAAATCTGAAGACAGGAACAAAACGAAAAGTCGTATATTCAGTCAAGAATATTCCGTTTTCTGACCATAGTTGCTGCTGTGGTAAACTCTCACAGGTAAGAAAAGCTCAATTACTTGTGTTGACAAATTAAAGTACTTTAAATTCTGTGGAGTTTCTTAAGCCGTAATCATCAATCGAGAATGTGAGTCACGAATTGTTACAGGGGACATTTCGAGCTTTAGTTTAAACAAAACAAAATTTGGACGAGTGTCCAATCTACGTTTTAACTTCCATAAAATACATGATAGTGTTGGGAAAGCATTAAGAACAGCTAACAAAGGTCGCGTGATTTCCAACTCTCATGCATGCATGCACTGGCTCGCATCCTCTTTACACCTCGCGTGGCGGCATGGCGGGTGTATTTCCGCACATAGCCTTAACTTTCTTCTTTAATTTTCTTTGTAATTCTATTCACGTTTACGCATCTTTAATATTCATTCTGTTTTTAAAAGTACACAATCGAGGTGATTAATCAACGGATACAATTGGTTAGCAATCACGGTCAAGTGCCTATCAGCGCGATGCGGACAAAACTTCACAAATAGCTATCATTTCGGTGCGGTTAGATTTAAAATCTTATAATCGTATTATTTAACTCAGTCAATGGGTAATAATATTGTCTATGAGCTAAAGTTAATATTATATTTTTAAAAAGTGCGCAAACTGGTTACCGTGATTTAGATTTTGAAATTAACTCAAGTGAATCAATACTCAAGAGTCAAGGCAATAATAGCCATAGCCCATTTCCGAATTGCGCATATTATTTCAATATCTGCATGTTTGTGAATTTAGAACGAAATGGCCTGCTGCTACGTTTTATCTCAGGATTTTTTCAATACGTTATTTACACATGTGCTATTACGTTCTCTTGCATCCCAGCATGAACAATTGTTTTATACTTGTCAGCGAAGTTTCTCAGCTGTTTTAATACTGGGACCTGTTTCCTTATTAGTAAAGCAATCTTTTTACCTAAGACCGCTTAAGTACTGTTACGTGTACGGTCACTACAGCTGTTTTATGATAACTAAAGTTCGACTGTTTTTAACAAGATGTTTTTGTTTTCAGATCACCACGAATTTGGAGTCACAGTCTGTTGTTGACAGTGCACTCGTTCAGGCAGAACAATTAATCTGCTTTTTATCAGTGTAACAAAGCTGTGTTTAATACTGAAAGCATTCTCAAAGCATCGATACCTATTGAAAGCATATTGTATTGAAAGATTGGAGATTTTTTATACATTGACTAATACCTATTTTAAACAAGTGTATAGCCTCATCAAACCGAGTCGACGAGTCGTTGGCGATCTTCCAACAATCCGAATTTATCATCGAAAACTAAGTAAAATTATACAGGAAACAGTTTCAACGCATCGTTTCCTATATTCGAAGCATTGGTTGAAGCTTCTATATAACTTGACAAAGATTTTATTTTGAAAGCTGAAACAAGTATATAGCTTGTATCGACTTACTGCACTTTACAGTTATCAACGAGGTTGTCAATACTTCAACAAGGCAAGGACATTTCACATTGAAAAGTAAACTACAGTATTCTGGGCGATTTTATAACCTTTCAAAAACAAACCACTTAGTCTCACGATTATTCTTGTCGTGTATAAGACATGAAGCCAACGAAGACCACAGATAATGCGCGCAATGGTCTACCTGATTTGCGCAGAGTCCAGACTGGTTTGCATATAACGCGCACTCGTGCCAGGGTTGCGCAAAGGGTTGCGCACGGTCCTCGCCAGCGAAGTATCGAAGACTGCATTCAAAGACTTAAACTTATGGTGCCAAACATACGAACAGATGAAAAATTGGATGAGTTCGAGATCTTACAACGTGTTATAGAGTACATACAGCTGTTGGAAGAAGCATTAGGGATTAGCGTCACACCTCTCGTACCATCTGTTCAAGGCAGTAAAAAGATTTCTCTCAACTGACGCAAATACCTCGAGAGGTCAAGTTCTGGAGGTTAGAACTGGAATCGCATATCCAAATTTGTTTAAAATGTCAGTTGCTAAAATATGCTTAAAACGATGAAAAAAGTTGCTCGTATACATTTCAGACAATAAACTTGTCTGTAGCTAGATTACATGTATATTTATTGAATTATTGTGGATATATTTGGCTGCCTCGTGGGCGTTGCAGATTAGGTTAAGTTTAGTGTTAGTTTTATTAAGAGATTACAAAACCGGATGCCAAGTTTATTGACATTACCTGCAACGAAATTTGTGGTACGCCTGAACCAATTTATGAGTACATAGTGTACATACCAAGTATGATTCTCTTCTGCGATATGCAGAGGCGATAATGTACCATATAATGAATATTGAATAACGCGGCCTTGTAATGTAAATTATATAATAACATGTAGGTAATTGGCCAAAGCCGTTTAAAAGATGTGTTCAGGCATATATGAGCTATTTAATTAAACTATACAAGTTGAAGTGGTTTTGGAGGTTCTTTCTGACGAGTGCATGATTTTGCTTTTTTTTAGTAACTTGATTCGGCACCGCTACGTACGCAAACCGAAATGGGAGGGGCAGTCATCAAGAAATTGTTATTTGCTTAGGGTTCCCCCTAGGCTCGGTTCCCCCAAGAGAATTTTGAAATCTGAGGCCTTGCAGTGCCCCTCTATACAAAATCCTCATATTCCTTATGATAAATTCCATGTTGAATCACTCAATGTTGAGATTGTGCTATGGTAAATTACCAAAAGTTGTTTCGGCGTTGTTTGCAACATTGAACTGGGGGAGAGGGGGTGACAAAGTTTGCTTAGTCAATGTGCATCAACTTTGCAAATTGCAATGTTGATCCAAGATATTGTTAGACTGCAGGCTAGCTCGCTTAGCCGAGCTGATGTCAGCATCTTTCACGGATATAACCTACCGAGAATCATTCACAGAGACCGGTTTTAAGATCGAAATCGGTCAGAAAAATCTTATTTACAACAATATATTCGCGTGAACATAGCAATAACACTCAGCCCGCTTATGCGAGCCAGCCCAGATCTTTGCGTTTATATGGGAAATTCCCTGCCCGGTTACCCGAGATCTCGGGTCAGGCCTACCCCCCGAGCTACCATGGGAGAGGCAAAATTATATTCATTATATAACATTTAAACGCAGGTGTTTATATGCAACGTTTTCAACTCGTCTCCGCTGGTAGGGTCACGCTGGCGGTAGGAGCGCCCTGTTTACGAAACAGGGTTACCTTTGTAGGAGGGACAACCGTTTTGTGCAATGTAAACAGTTTGTCTCGGCCTTCATGGATAACTTTTCATTCCCTGATTCCCAGTCCTTAAAACAAATTACCGGCATGTTCCAGGAGTCACAATCTCGTACTTAGAGCCATTCTCGTAGCCGGAGAGAATACAGTGCCATGGCTATAAATTCTTCTCATATAAACGTGCGGTAACTCGTTGTCTCGGGGGCTAGGGTGTCCCTATAGTGTCCAAGATCATACTACCGATATAAATAGCGCCCAAGCCGGTGTGAGGAATCGAGCCCATGGCTATGCCTTGGGTTCTATTTGTTCACAAAGCGGTCGGCTAGCGCTGAATGCGTCCGGTTAATTAAGTACGGTACTAACGGTGATTTATCCAATCCCAAGAAAGTATAGGGTAGGGACCGGTCATTATTTATGGTGAGGGGTGGCACCGATCGCGAAGAGAAATGTTTTTCTTGGCAAAAATTTTGCTGACCAACCATTAAAGACACAAAAATTTGATTACCCAACCTCAAATATCAATTAAACAATAGTTACCCACCTAGCTCTGGTCAAAAACTTTACAACAGGATGCCATTTAGTTGTCACACATGTCCTTTACCACTTCTGTGACATGAGTAATTTGATAACGGCTTGTGAAATGTTCTGCAGTCTAAAGTTTCATGTTGTCTGCACATGTACTTTCTTTGGAAACACCATTTGTTTTGTCAAAATGATCAAGATATATAGTGACTCTGATTGATTCACATACTGTATTGTATTGACAAATGACTAGCTAGCCCAATGCTCTTCCAACTGAGCTACGCGGTCAGGACGGTTCGGGTAAGTGATATTTCGGAACCGTATCTAGTCCCTTCAATACCAATGTGTTCTAGTAATATGATTTTTTTTTCTGTGTTGGTGTTGTGTACTCAGGTGAATATTACTAGAACACATTGGTATTGAAGGGACTAGATACGGTTCCGAAATATCACTTACCCGAACCGTCCTGACCGCGTAGCTCAGTTGGAAGAGCATTGGGCTAGTATTCCAAAGGTCGTAGGTTCGAATTCCACCGTGGCCTGGCATATTTATTTCAAGCTCGCCCGGTGTGGATATGCACTCAGAGTAACATCGCAAACATATTATTCACCTGAGTACACAACACACCAACACAGAAAAAAATTCATATTACTAGAACACATTGGTATTGAAGGAACTAGATACTGTTCCGAAATATCACTTACTCGAACTGTCCTGACCGCGTAGCTCAGTTGGAAGAGCATTGGGCTAGTATTCCAAAGGTCGTAGGTTCGAATCCCACCGTGGCCGGGCATATTTTTCAAGCTCGCCCGGTGCGGATATACACTCAGAGTAACATCACAAATATCATATTCACCTGAGTACACTACACCAACACAGAAAAAAAAATTCATATTACTAGAATACATTGGTATCGAAGGAACTAGATACGGTTCCGAAATATCACTTACCCGAACCGTCCTGACCGCGTAGCTCAGTTGGAAGAGCATTGGGCTAGTATTCCAAAGGTCGTAGGTTCGAATTCCACCGTGGCCTGGCATATTTATTTCAAGCTCGCCCGGTGTGGATATGCACTCAGAGTAACATCGCAAACATATTATTCACCTGAGTACACAACACCAACACAGAAAAAAATGACTAGCTGTTGACATTGCTTTTCAGTCTCCAATATTTCAGTGAGTCGTGCTTTGGAAATGAAAATAAAATTTTATTACCCGACCCTTGAGTTGTTTTGTTTTTCCGATTTACCCGACCTTTTACTTACTCAAAATTTTGTTTACCCAACCCTTTTCTCTTCGGTGCCACCCCCCCCCCGCCATAAATAGCGACCGGTCCCTTAGACTTAGTACTATAATCTATATATATATATATATATATATATATATATATATATATATATATATATATATATATATATATATATATATATATATATATATATATATATAGCGCATGGGTTAGAATTATTTTCCGAAACTGAATTCCTATTAAATTAATTTGTTTCTATACGTTTGTATATGTACAGTGAACCTGAGCAAGAGACTGGGCTGTCTTTGCAGTGGTATCAGTTAGAGAACGTTTATTGAAGTTTTATGTTTTCTTCGTATTGAATTTCTAGTTATAATTTATATGTGGGATTTGCCTTGTTGGAACTTCGAGTCCGTTCGCCGATCCCATATCTAACTCGCCTTTGTTTGTTGTAATGTTTTTTGTTTCGTTCTCACATACCCATTGTAAATTTCGCGAGTTTGATTAACGCTTCTTCTTATTATTATTACCGAAAGGCTGGAAACAGTGCCTCGTTTAGAGGAAAAAGCTGACTAGAGGGCACTCGGTGATGCATTGCATTCAGTTTTTCTGCCCGTCAAAGTAAGACAAACCTTTAAAGTGCCTATGACACGAAATTTTACCCCAAAGGTTTATGGTTGCATTGTAAAGATCACTTAAAAGAATTTCTTTTATAGAATTTTGGTAACTTGCTTCCTTTTCAAGATATTCAACTTTGTTTGATATGCAAATATCACCGGTGTGACATCACATCACATAATGAGTTTTCAGAAAAGTATAGTTTTCTTGACGAATACGTATCTAAAAAAACTTAAAAACTGCCCTTGTATATGTATTAATTTCATAACTGGTAATTAATTAACCCTATCAGTTTGTTTGTAAACATATTTTATATCAAGGTAAGATATTGCGTTTTCAAAATGTCATTATGCATGCGATGTCACACCGGTGACATTTGTATATGAAACAAAGTTGAATACCTTGCAAAGGACGCAAGTTAGCAAAATTCTATAAAAGAAATTATTAAGTCATTTTCAATGATCTTTACAATGCAATCATAAACATTTGGGGTGAAATTTCGTGTCATAGGCACTTTAAATTTAACCAGGATTTAAGTCAAACAAATTGTCAATGAGAAATGTCATTAGTCCCACAAATGTATTATTCAGTACGTTTGATAGTTTTCGAGTTATCTTGCTGGCAGACCGCACGCGCACATACACACATACAAGTGCGAACGAAAACATATAACCTCTCGCGGAGGTACAAATTATGTGTTACAATTGGCCAAGTACATTTTTATTAGGTAGACTGTTTTATTATTCTAAACAATTAAAAATTACGTACAAACGTACAAAGAACTTAATTAAAAATTATTTTACAGAATATCAATAAAAATATTATATTATCCTTGGACTAGGTTTCTGTAAGCATTTTACACGTTCAATTCAACTGATGTTGGCCAAATTTAATAATAGAGATGGATGATCCATCTGACAAAACATAGGCAAAGAAAAGATGGTTTGGCTGATAAATTTTCTGCGTATAAATGTGGCAAATAACAGATTATCTTTATTTACTCTTGTCTAACGCCAGACGATTTTACTAGTTAACAGTTTCTTTTCTCAGGATTTTCTCTTCGGTCCGTTTTTGCGGAGAAGATCGAGTTTGGCTGAGGGGCTCCTCCCCGGATTTTGTCCAGATCTCATAAAATCTAATTTAGCCAACAGATCGTAACAGATTCCACTAAATATCTAACAATCTAGAGTTGTAATAAAACTCAATTGGGATATTTCAGTTTTTCCTATAAAATAGTCCTTCAATACTGCACAATGTTTCTGATCTTAACGCACGGAGTTACTTGGAGCCAAGTTTTGTAAGTTCTTCGAGCACGGCTTCTGACAGTTCTTCGGCGTCTTTCACTTTTTCGCGCATAATTTTTTCCTGACAAAATAAATAAAAAACTTTGGAAAGATATTTAAATAATAAAGAAAACTCAGGTTGATCTCAGCGCAGCAAATTGTACTCAAGTATAAACCACTTTTAATCGCGTGTTTTAGCCCATTTCCACTCAAGAAAATTTTCCGAAAATATCATTGTTAAAAGTTGAAAATTTTCAACTTCAAAATT